ATCGGATCCTCCCTACATCAGCCCTTCTGGATATGTGAGCTAATAGCGCACTTGATTGCCTAAGCCGTCTGAGTTGGTCCTGTTACTTATAGCTGAAGGTGCCATGAAAAAGTGACAACCCGGGTGTTGTCACCTGGTTAAGGATGACTTGACATATGAAGTGTGAGGAGCTTCGCTGGTCTCTAGGAGCTACTGCCTTGGGCTGTACTAAGAAGAATGATCTTGCCTGGGCGAGTGGTGACAGTGACCGGGGACATCGTCCGAGGAAGCCTGTCCGTCCGATTAAGAAGTATGGTCCTGGCTGTCTGGAGGTCCAGTTCACCAAGCATCCGTTACGTATGAGGAGTTTTCCAAAACCACCACGGGAAAGGCATATCACGAGACATTATATATGGATTTCAATTTTTTTTGGTACCAAAATAAACTCATGCTTTAATTTCTTATAGGAAAAATACTGATTTTTGATAGGGCTGCCAAGCTATCGGATCCTCCCTACATCAGCCCTTCTGGATATGTGAGCTAATAGCGCACTTGATTGCCTAAGCCGTCTGAGTTGGTCCTGTTACTTATAGCTGAAGGTGCCATGAAAAAGTGACAACCCGGGTGTTGTCACCTGGTTAAGGATGACTTGACATATGAAGTGTGAGGAGCTTCGCTGGTCTCTAGGAGCTACTGCCTTGGGCTGTACTAAGAAGAATGATCTTGCCTGGGCGAGTGGTGACAGTGACCGGGGACATCGTCCGAGGAAGCCTGTCCGTCCGATTAAGAAGTATGGTCCTGGCTGTCTGGAGGTCCAGTTCACCAAGCATCCGTTACGTATGAGGAGTTTTCCAAAACCACCACGGGAAAGGCATATCACGAGACATTATATATGGATTTCAATTTTTTTTGGTACCAAAATAAACTCATGCTTTAATTTCTTTTTTTTTTTCATCAACTTTTAGAAGTTCCTTTGTATGGTCATGAAGTTGGGGTCATGAGAGTGAATTAGATAGTCTTTGCCTTTCGGAAGTGAGAGAGACCTTCACGGCCACGAGGGCGTGCAGTCTGCCCCAGGCCTGGGGAGGCTGCCTTGTGAGGTGGCCAGGTCAGACTCCAGGTGGGCACAGTGGGGCTGGAGGGTGCTGCAGTGGCGAAGCATGAGCTCCGCGAGGCCGACCCACATCGCTGACTGAGTCCGTGTCTGGAGAGCTTCCACGATACAGAGCTGGCTACGGCTATGGGTGGACTGCAATGTCAGGACCCCTTTTTGGGGGGTATCTCTCTGCTTCTCTCTTTCTGTCACTCAGGAAGAAAACAAACAAGTCCTGAAGTTAGCCCATGGCATGATGGGTAAGGTGGCAAGATCCCACATGGCCCACTGGGCATTTCAAGTCCTGGACCTGCATCTTAAACACACGCGCACCTCCACACCCCCACATCCTGTGTGCATGGGGAGATGGAGGAGGGGGAGTACAGCGTGACCATTCCCCATAGAATGCTTTTGGACTCCCCTCCCCTCTCTTTTTCTTTGGTGAGTGCCCATGGCCACTGGCAAAATTTAAAAACAAACAAATAAAACCCCAAACAAAACAGAACTTCATGTACACCTTCCGAAGGATAGTAAGAGAAGGTTCAGGGAACAGACATCTGTAGACATCGATGAACAGCGTAGGCAAACTTACGGCGTCACGACCTGCTTGGGTAAACTACAAGTCATTTGGCATAATCCGAACAGGGTGGGCCACAGATGTCACATGCCTCTGAGCAGTTAACTTGATGTCTCTGAGGCTCAGATTCACATTTACAAGGAAAGAAGACTGTGGCTGGGGAAAGGAAGAAACTAACGTGGTCAGGAAAGGAGAACACGCACGCCCAGCAGCGCCCCGCGGTAGCAGTGCTCTGCAGGTACTAGGTGCACATGCGCACACGTGCACGCACACCAAGTGCTTTTTACACACCCTGCCTCCCTGCCCTGGGCTCAGTCACATGGTTCTAATTCTTTATCTCTTCTGACCCAGGTGGCTTTCTCCCCTCTCTCACTCATTCCTGAGCCTAGTAGCCAGGCCCCCAAACTCCCACGGACTTTTCCACAGGCAGGAAACCTGAGCCGGCTGCCTGGCCTAGGGCAGCTTCTAGGGCTGGGTAGTTTGTGTTATTTCTTTTCTTCTCGCTCTCTCTTTTTTTCCCCTAAATGCAACAAAATAAAACCAAACAAAAAGCCCAACGCCTGGCGTGGCTTGTCAGGGGGTTATGCAAGTGTGTAAAAAAATAAAATAAAATAAACATTGAGTTGTCGGTTTTGGGCTGTTTGATTAGGCACGGAGCAGAGCCAAGTGCCTGTGAGATGCAGCGAAGGCTCAGGGCAGAGGGGAGCGGGAGGGACTTGGGAAGGGTTGGAGGGGGCCCCTGGACCAAGTCGGAAATGGCTGAGGGCCTCCTGCAAACTTGGCAGTGCTGGGACTGAATGAGCCCAGATCCGGGGCATTCGGGACTCAACACTCCACTCTCTCTGGCTCTCTACCTCCGTGGTCCCTGGAGGTCGGGACACTCCAAGGGTATCCCACCCATTCCCTTGTCGTTGTAAGTGACCCTGACCTTGGCTCCACAGGGGGAGCTCCCGCTCTGCTAGGGACACACAGCGCCCCCATCCCAGCACCCTTTCTGCTCTATCTCGCTAATCTAGACCATTTCCCTCACCCCAATCCAAACAGCTGCTTACACCCCCAAGAATCCCGGTGGCGCTGCAGACAGAAAGGTGAAAGGTCTGGCAAAATTTAAAAACAAACAAATAAAACCCCAAACAAAACAGAACTTCATGTACACCTTCCGAAGGATAGTAAGAGAAGGTTCAGGGAACAGACATCTGTAGACATCGATGAACAGCGTAGGCAAACTTACGGCGTCACGACCTGCTTGGGTAAACTACAAGTCATTTGGCATAATCCGAACAGGGTGGGCCACAGATGTCACATGCCTCTGAGCAGTTAACTTGATGTCTCTGAGGCTCAGATTCACATTTACAAGGAAAGAAGACTGTGGCTGGGGAAAGGAAGAAACTAACGTGGTCAGGAAAGGAGAACACGCACGCCCAGCAGCGCCCCGCGGTAGCAGTGCTCTGCAGGTACTAGGTGCACATGCGCACACGTGCACGCACACCAAGTGCTTTTTACACACCCTGCCTCCCTGCCCTGGGCTCAGTCACATGGTTCTAATTCTTTATCTCTTCTGACCCAGGTGGCTTTCTCCCCTCTCTCACTCATTCCTGAGCCTAGTAGCCAGGCCCCCAAACTCCCACGGACTTTTCCACAGGCAGGAAACCTGAGCCGGCTGCCTGGCCTAGGGCAGCTTCTAGGGCTGGGTAGTTTGTGTTATTTCTTTTCTTCTCGCTCTCTCTTTTTTTCCCCTAAATGCAACAAAATAAAACCAAACAAAAAGCCCAACGCCTGGCGTGGCTTGTCAGGGAGTTATGCAAGTGTGTAAAAAAATAAAATAAAATAAACATTGAGTTGTCGGTTTTGGGCTGTTTGATTAGGCACGGAGCAGAGCCAAGTGCCTGTGAGATGCAGCGAAGGCTCAGGGCAGAGGGGAGCGGGAGGGACTTGGGAAGGGTTGGAGGGGGCCCCTGGACCAAGTCGGAAATGGCTGAGGGCCTCCTGCAAACTTGGCAGTGCTGGGACTGAATGAGCCCAGATCCGGGGCATTCGGGACTCAACACTCCACTCTCTCTGGCTCTCTACCTCCGTGGTCCCTGGAGGTCGGGACACTCCAAGGGTATCCCACCCATTCCCTTGTCGTTGTAAGTGACCCTGACCTTGGCTCCACAGGGGGAGCTCCCGCTCTGCTAGGGACACACAGCGCCCCCATCCCAGCACCCTTTCTGCTCTATCTCGCTAATCTAGACCATTTCCCTCACCCCAATCCAAACAGCTGCTTACACCCCCAAGAATCCCGGTGGCGCTGCAGACAGAAAGGTGAAAGGTCACAGTTATTCCAGCCTTCACAGGGACTGAGCCCTGCCCTCGGCTCCACCCCCACCTCTGCACCCCTCCCCAAGTTGTGTCCTCCCCTCCCCCACCCTTGGGGCCTTCTCTTTGGTCTCCCGCCCCAGTTCTGCCTCTGCTTCCAGCCCCTTCCCGGCTCTGGCCCTGCTTGACTTGACTTCAACATCATCCGGGTCACTGCAGGTGTCTGCAGGGCCTCCAGACCCACCCACAAACATTTACAGAGTTCCTTCCGTATTTGCCTCCCGCATTTCACTGAACCTGCAAAACAGATGAGACCCCTGAGGTTCTGAGAGGTTCAGTCACTTAGAGACGGCCACACAGCTGGAGAGTGATGCGCAGGGGTCTGAAGCTAGGTGTTAGTACATAGTATCCCTCATTCTGATGTACCAACCGTCTCTGGAGGTGGCCTCACCTGGGTGCCCAGATCTTATTAATAGTTTTCCTGTTTCTTCTGAACTGCAAAGATGCTCTGAAGACTTGACCCTGAAGGGGAGGAGGGCGTGGCCCGGACCTCGGACCTCGGGACTCTTTGGATCCTGTGCCTCACCACTTTCCAGGTTGCTGATGGGGAAACTGAGGTTTCCCGAGGGACTCGCCCTGTTTTAACACGGAGATGCGATGCGAGCTGCTGCTGCTGGTGCTCTGGCTGCGTGAAATCCCGGGGTGCAGGGCGGGGAAGAGGGGCGAGCGCAGAAGGTCTGTGCGGGAGTCCAGGCGGCTTAGCCCTCCGCCAGCCCCGCGCCCAGGGCGCGG